AACACTCGCGGAGCCGAACGCCGGATATATCCGACATCCACATGATCGCCCTCTGGGGACGAACGCCGGATATATCCGACATGCTAGTAAAATCGCGACCTAATTTTTGGACTGCACCGCCTCTTGTTACTATTGCGTGAATCTTTTGACGAAACAAACAAACGACAGTCCGAAATAAACGACACACCATTCAAGTTATATTTGTTCTACCTGCATTTCCCATTATTATTGTGTTACATGTCATAAAGGGATAGAAAATCGAAAGTACTAACTTTAGGACTAATTATTATGTATTATGTTTTGTATTATGAATATTATGTCTTATTTGATTACTGTATATTATATATTATTTCTTCACTTTTTCCATTGTTAATGAAACTTTTTTTACCTATTAAATAACTTTATACCTTATGCAGAAATTATAACTATATTGTTTTAAAGAAAAATCCCTTTTCTTCCCAAATACACTATCCACGCGCAATGTGCACAATTTCGGCGGGTGGTTCCGTTCAGGAGGGGCGCTACGGCGGACTGAACCGCCGTAGCGAAAGGGTTAACTCGGCACGGCTATAATACGTCCCGAAGATTTCGAAAACATAATACGGTATCTCGAAAGGCAGAATTTGATCATGAGTTGTCCTGTCGAAAGAGTGGTGAATTCAATCATGGGCTTCGGTTACGGTATTCGGGTGAGTCAGTCACGTCAACAAAAATCGCTACGTGATATATCGTAGTACTTTCTTTATTCATCCTAATCTATTTTCATATTGTCTTGTGCTTAATTGAATCGAATTTCGTGTTATTGTTACAGATCTTGAAATCACATGCGGGGTAGAGATCGAGAAGCAACGCGGTCGGGCTTCGTCGAGGAGGAGCGTTTCTAAGTGTTATCTTTATCAACACACAAAGCATCTGTAACCTATAACACATAATATATTCTCATATTTAATAGCGATTGAATTTAATTGAATTTCTTGCTATTGTACAGATCTGGAAACTACGTGGGTGGCTGAGATGAAGAGGCAACGGGTCGGGCTTGGTCAAGAAGGAAGGGATGTAAGTATAATCTTCATCAATATGCAAATTACATGGGATAGTTTGTAGAAATGAATAATTTCATGAATAATGTTGGACGTATTTTAATATATCTGTGTTTTTCCTTCTCCCAACAAGTAGTGAGTGAACATTCAGAGTAGTATTTTTTTTATTACGTAGAAATTGCAGAACGTTTTGACGAGTACAATGATTAAAGAATTCTCCGGTAATCCTTTGAGTGGTAATCTGTTTCCTAGTTAGGTTGGATCTTCCTACACGTCGCGGTTTCCTATGATTGTTTCAAGTTTTAATAATTTTATTTCGAAGGTACCGAAATATTAGTCCTTTATAACACGCGATTATCATAACACGAATGTTACAAAAATTATATTGGCGCATTTATTGTACTAATGTATTAAATAACTTTCTTCTGCCTAATTGCATTAGAGATCGCGTGTACAAGGATAGGTAAAACATACTCGATAGAAGCTCAAAAAGAGTTCCTTTTTGTTATGATAGTATTATTAAACGTATTTGAACATATTTTGAAATTATTATTAAAAATACTCATTTTTCAACGAATTTGAAAAATCTTAGCCCGAGGAACTAATGACTCTTTTTAGATAGGATTTTCAGATAATCGAGGTTCTCCACGTTCGTTGCTCGAATCCTTCCGAGTGCCCAAGCGTTACTCGAGAGAGCTCGAGCAACAGCACATGGAACGGTATTTAATAATAATAGCGACTGACAATGACTGTCGTATCGTGCACGACGTAATTTCCACTTGTGTGTGTATGTGGGTAGGCAATGGATTTTGTGTAGGTTCTTTGAATTCGAAACTAGTTCGAATCGAACATGTTCCATACGATCTATACTATGCAACGTGGATCGTATGGAATATGTATGTATAGAATGTTTATTTTCTATTCTTATCGGTTGAAACGGTTTAGTCAAAGCTGTCAAGAGTCTTGAAAAATTCAACTCTACCGAAATGGTATTTCTTCTAGAATGGCTAGTATTACTAGTAGTCAATTAAAATCTCGTACGAGAAAGTAATTTTCAATTGGAATTCGATTAAATCGCAATGATCGTTGCCATTGTCAGTGGATTTCAGGAACTGACGTGTACTTTAGAATGAGAATGAATGATTACATTAGGGTGCCAGAGGCATCTTAGAACGTTGTCCGTTTAGGAAACAGCATCATGACGTATGGATGAGCATCGTGAAATGAATATGTTGGTGTGATCGCTTTGCTATCTTTTTAATATAGCATTATGCAGGATAGGTAAAACTTATCTTAACACGTTCCGTGCCACGTGTACCATCGATGGTACACGCTTGCATGTTTACTTAGTGAACTGAACAAATTGTTTACAAGAAATTTAGAACCGAAGAATCAATTTCCACCGCAAGAATGGGCGTTGATAAGTTTTTGTTACGTTGTTATGTGTACGAGAATTAATAATTGCACGTAATACATCAAGTTTTAGTAAAATATCAAAGTGTGAAGATTCGAGTAAAAAAAGCTCGGCACGGAACGTGTTAACGGAGTACATGAATTGTCATGTAGGGCCAAGGCTGGCTATCGTTCTCTTTGCAGGTAGGCAGCGAATCGTACGATAGTCAGCCATTAGTAGGGCTCGAAGGATTTGATTCGAAGTTGATTCGAACGGTGCGTGACGTTCGATAACGGCTCGAAATCGATTCTTTGAGAATTTTCTTAGCTTCTGCGGTCATGAACGCGAATGCGCGGGAATTAGGGCTTTCAAAACGAAACGATACCGACTCCGTTGCAGCAGCATGATTATCGACTTTTCCCGAGACTTTGTTACTTCGTTTCCGAATTCGTTGATCTTCTACTAGCTGTGGAGCACGTGTAGGGTTCTAGATTTATCAGACGAATCGCTGAAGAAAAAAAAGGCTATAAATGGCAAAGAGGAGGCTTCTTCAACAAACTGTCGAGAGCGGCTAATTTATTGCCGTTACCACTTTGTCACTGTATTCGTTTATAGAAATAGTAGTTGTGGCAGTAGTGCTGATTACGGGCTGGTCTCCTTGTACAGACGGGTACATCCGCGATTTGCAAATAGCGTTGCGAAATGATCACGCGTTGTGTTATTTAATTTCGAAAAGAAATCTAAGTTAGCGCTGCGAATAGTCGCACTTTTTCTTGAATATTGTCGAGTATAATAGTTTCGAATATAGCGTTGCGAACTAATCGCGTTTCGACTTGTCAGTATCCTTAGATTTTTCAAGGTCGTTGCTTCTAGAAATTAAAGTGGTTTTGTATTCGTTGTATTAGCGTTGCGAGGAAACAGTCGCGTTGCAACAGTTTGCCTTTCGACATTTCAGACGCCTATGCTGCAGCTGCAACAATGAACGAGGTTCCAACGAATAGCTCGGATGGGCAAATCTCGATTTTTGCATTATAGCGTCATGAAACAAACTGTCGCGACTTATTTTTGAATCGATTTGAAGGTAGTGTTGCGAGAATAATCGCGTTGCCAGTAGCTTCGTTCGTCTTTCAGAACCCATGCTGCAGTTGCAACTCTCCGCAGTGTGGCATCCATAATGTTTTCTTAGAGTCGCGAGACGAAATAACAACGATTGAGTTAGCGTAGCTATTGTAAACGCGTTTTTATAAACGAGATAGCCGGAGGTTCTGGACTTCGCAGCACAAGACCGTGAAACACAATCTCTGTGTAAACTATGTTCGGGGCGGCCGGCTCGTAGAATTTTCATTCCACGACCGTCCGTGGACGAAGGGGCGCATCAGTCTTGGCGTTACGATGTCCAGGCGGGTGGGTGGTGCTTAGCGTAGGAATCCAGGGTGGATTCCAAGGAGCTGGGGACAGCTCTTGTCGCTAGGCTATCATTGCACAATCGTCGTCGATTCCCTTTAGCGTTACGTAGAAACAGATCAAGTGCATTCAAGTGCATGTCTTATCTGCCGGTGAATGCGTAATTTTAATACTTTAAGCGTTAAGTCGCGTAATTAAATGTATAAGAATAATGAAAGATAGTTCTAAATAATTTAAGTTGAAAAGTTAGTTATTGAGGTGTTAGTTATTGAGGTGTTATTTATTAAGGCGTTATTTATTAAGGCGTTATTTATTAAGACGTTACTTATTAAAGAGTTAGTCATTAAGAAAAAATTTGTTACGAGAAAGGAGGCCATAACGAATTCTGTCTTCGTCCTGACTCCCTTTCGGGTCTCCAGTCACAGCAACCTCCACGTGGTGAGACTCGGGCAATCGATGTAATTTTCGATTTCCAATCAATTATAAATCGATAGAAACTTCGAGCATTCTATAACTGATTCGAAATCAATAATTACATCGAGCTAATGGTTGTGAAGTAGGGGTGGGGAAAAATACATTTTTTAAATAGTCAGTAGACTATAAATATTTTTATCTTCTCATGTAGTACAGAATTTGGCAAATAAACTGTTTTTGAAGTAGTAGTTAAACATATGGAAGTTTACTTGCCAAATTCTATGTTGCACGAGAAGTTAAAAATATTTATTGTCTATTTGTCTATTTACTACTACAAAAATTTATTTTCCCCAGCCATGTAGTGAAGTAAATGGTTTAAATGCGAGAAAAAAACGATGTATAATTGTATATTTCTACTTCACAAATAAGGTTTTGATATTTTTTTTATACCCAGTGTTTCAATTGGCATCAATCACTGAGTGGGTTATTAGCGATTCAAAGTCAGGTTTACAGTTGATTGTATAATTTGGTTCTTTTCAAGTAATGTAACAAGTTTTGGATCGTTCCATTGTTTTTCAGTATGTCTTCTAAAGGAGTTCTTATGTTTAATGCCTATTTAATCTCTTTATTAACACCTTAATAAATAACGCCTTTATATTAAGTCCTTTCCCTGATGTGTTTTCTGCGGTGTAAGGTGATGTGTTTGTTAGGGGGAATTGTAAAATAATATTTATAAATGCCCATCTGCAAGACAAATTGTATAAAACTATTGCTATATGTGTACCATCACTAATTATGTAATTAGTAGAAATAACTGCTCAATTGTCTATAAAAATAATTACACTTTGTATCGTATATTTGTAGTACATGTTTCATAAATACTATTTACACCATTTAAATGCTCGCGCCATATAGGTATACTTAAATAAATATACATTGAAGAGAAAAAATCCTTTCAAAACACTTTCGATTTAGTTTAAAACGTTGCCTATATTATTAAAAAAAATATTTTAAAAAATCGAATTTTCATGCTGCATAAGTATTCGAACGCCTAATAAAATTAAGTTGGGATGTTGTAAAAATAAATGTTTTTAAATTTTTTGTGACTAGTTTTATACCACTATATTTCACAGTATGTTTCAAGAAGTTTAACATTATTAAAATTATTATTTATTTATAATCGATGTCGTTTTATATCCGTATTTTATACGATTTTATGATTTGTTTACAGTATGTATTTTTTTTGTTGCAACTTGTATGACCGAATTCACTTTATACTGATGGACAATCATGTACTATAAATATGTGTGTATAAGACACGCGTAAATATATTTTAATGGATCTGAAGAAATTTGTAAAATTCGAATGCACTTTTGGTTGATTTTCCGTATATTTCATCAATATTAGCAGGTAAATGGGTCAAAAATAGTGATCGAATACTTTCGTTACCCACTGTATGTTCAAAAATAGATTGTAAACATATATTTATGGAGAATTAATTCAATAAAGTTTCTTTGTGCATATATTATAATAGTAATTGCTGAAAATCTGAACGAATATATATTTTTTAATTTTATCGAATATTTGATAATAGTTGCTTTTAGTGATCATCAAAACTTATGTGCAATAGCTACATAATAAATATCACAGTACATGATCTTCATTCGAAGATAATAGCTTAAAATATTTAGTGCGCTGAAAGACTTGTTTTAAAAAAAAAGGTGAAACATTAAAGCTTGTAGAATAATGCCAAATTCTATCTACGTTATTTCTTTGCTGCTGTTTTTGTATTATTCACGTATTTCTTAAATTTTGATTGTAGCCTAGCCCTAATTGCGAAAATGGCGCAAGTTCATATTTTTGTAAACTTAAGTATAAAATTTATAATCATTATGATGGTTCAATACTCACTGGATGGTATTTTAACTTCTGCATCGGCTTCGACAACATGTTTCAAATTTTCCGTTATTCTTTCCGTTTGCGGGTTCAAACATTGACAACAAGCTGGCTGCACCTTTAACAATGTTATACGTTTATATATAAACAGGTCAGCTGAATAATTCGCTTGTTTTTGAAAATAGGAGAAAATGCATTAGACCAAACTTACTTGGTATTGGGGGGCTCATATATATATATATATATATATATATATATATATATATATATATATATATATA